TGTATGTGCTTAATGTATTTAAATTACTCAGTCAAGGAACAATATTAATTGCAAGTGAATGAGCTAATTATTAAATAGAAACCATATCTCTCCCTCCTCTCTCTTTCTAGTCTTGTGCTGTGGCTCCCTCTTCCCTTTCTCCACTTCATGTTCATGTTTATTAGCCATATGGAGGTGTGGTAGTTAATGTGTGGTGAAAACATGATAGGTGAAGCAAAACTGGAATAATAATGGAGTCTTAAAAATATATATATATTAAAAAATGTATGACTTCTTTTTCACTCGAGCGAGCCAACACTGTACATTGTTACTAATGGAGATCATGAAGCGTCTTGCTTTGATTGGATTACATAAAGGTGGACATTTTTCTGCTACTTTACAATAGATAAGTACAGCTGTACAGTAGTAACCTGCAGACACAGTGTACGTGCTAAGGTTTGGCCTGCAACGTAAAAAATACTTTGATAAATCCAATCTTTATTGTGTTGTCTAAAGTCCAGGGGCAGTACATTAATAGTTACCTAAGTCATGCACACACTCTTCTGCACTGCAACACACACGTGCAGTCTTGGCAGCACAACACTACCCAGCATTACCCACCTTATATCTTCCCCTCGTGCTTGCATTGTTTGTTTGTTTTTTCCAGGAGCCCAACGAAAATATGCTAGATTAAAGCTCCCCATCCTGCTCCTGGACAGTGGACCTTCATATGCGAACACTCGGATATCTTTGCTACCTTCTGTCATCCAGTTCTCTTTGCTCTCTTCTGACGCGCACCCACCGACGTACCCCGGGAGTCCGATGACAGGCTTGTCCCTACGCAAACTCCTGCAGCGATGTCACAACCCTAAGTGACGGCACCTGGGCGGTGCCAGCACCACATTCCTCTGAGCGTGTGTGGTGTCAGGGTGTGCCGCACAGCTGCGCTTGCCTTCACTCCATCGCTGACACGTCTGGTCCCGGTCAGCATGGTGTCTGGCTCTGTGACAGGCGCACTGAATATTTAGCTCCGTGTGTCGGGGTGTGTGTGTGCAGACATCTGTGCCTTCTTCAAACATGTTAAATTTACACAGCGTCTTCATTGCATCGGTGTTTAACTTGGAAAAGTTTGAGTGTTTTTGTACGTTTTGTTATGTTTTGATTAATACGATACACTGAACAGAAAGACCGAGTGATGTTCCTTGTATACTAGTTCTGGCTTGAGTTTGCCTCATGCATGTTTTTGATTTTGATCCAGGGGATATCTTAGTCTGAGCTGAATATAGAAGCGTCTTCTCGTGTAGGAGACGAATAGACACAGACAGGAGGGGCCGCTGGGTTAAATAAACCCAGAGGAGTTTCTTAAAACCACTCCATCAGTCTTCTGTTTATCCTGTCACAGAATATCAACAGACGAGCAGGCTACCACTCACAGTTGGTGATGCGCGCGCCTGTGTGTGTGTGTGTGCGCGTGCATGTGTGGAGTCGGAGCAATATGATCCTTGTGAGCAAGTGTGCTGACTGTCATTCATGCCTTTGCAGGGCTTGCTACTAAATTACTTAGTGTTACTTTCTTTGAAGCTTTTTTTTTGTGTGCATAATTTAAGATTTTAATCTTGACACTATTAAAAATATATTTAATTGCTTTTATGCAAGAACTAAATATTTAAGAAATGATCCCATTGGTGGAAGATATGATAATAAATATAGCTTGAAAACAAGGCTGCCACCTATTTAAATCAAAAAGAAGCGTTTACACGTATTGATCTAA